ATCATTAGACCAGGTTTATTTATTTATTTTTTTTAATTTTTTTTAATTTTTATTTTATGATAGTCACACACACAGAGAGAGAGAGAGAGAGAGGCAGAGACACAGGCAGAGGGAGAAGCAGGCTCCATGCACCGGGAGCCCGACGTGGGACTCGATCCCGGGTCTCCAGGATCGCGCCCTGGGCCAAAGGCAGGCGCTAAACCGCTGCGCCACCCAGGGATCCCCTAGGTCAGGTTTATTATTTTGTAGATAGATGTCCAGTTGTTCCCATGGCATTTGTTGAAAGTGAAAAGACTATCCTTTCTCCACTAACTTCTGTTTGTAACTGTGAAAATTAATAAAGGGCAAACCTTGTTTAGAATGGAGTTGGAGGCCCGCAGAGGGAGCTTTCAGCCCTGTCACTTGTCAGTCTCAGCCATAGGTTGATAGGGCTTTGCTATGGCAGCAGGAGGAAGGAAGGTTTCTTAGTCCCCCGGCAACAGCGCAGCCAACCAGAGACTGCCACCCGATGAGAGGCCACCTGGCTGTCGGCTCCCAGTTTACTCCAGCGGGCGGACTTCCTGACTTCCCCCTTTCCTCTGTGAAACAGCATTTCTTGCCTCTGTTCTCTGGACCGGCCTATGGTTTTGCTACCGCTTGCTTGTCCTGGATCGCAGTTCTCTGCTGTTCCTGAATAAACCCATCTTTTGCCATTAGAAGAACTGGCAGTTTTATTTTTAAGGTTAATAGCAGCTTTGTCAAAAATCAATGAGTTGTAATTGCATGGGTCTATTTATGTAGTCTGTTTGATGGGTCTTTTCAAAGTTGTTTTCACCTGTCCAGCTCTTTTACTGTTCCATATAAATTTTATAATCAGCTTTGTTTCTACCTACAAGAAATCCTGTGGACATTTTGGTTGGGATTATGTTAAATCTATAGACCAGTTTGGAGAGAATTGACATCTTTATTTTTTATATGGTCTTCGAATCCATGAATTTGGTCAATCTCTTCACTTATTTAGGTTCTTGATTTCTTCAGCATTTGGTGGTCTTAAGGATACATAATGTCTTACTAGATTTATATTTATAAATTTACATTTTGTGGAGGTATTATAAAATGCTCTGTTAAAAAAGCTTCAGTTTTCAATTGTTTGTTGCTGATTTATTGAAATATGCTTGATATTTGCATATTTACTTTGCTAAACTCACAAATTCTGGGATCTTTTTTGTAGATTCCTTGTGATTTTCTACATAAATAATCATATTGTCTTCAGATAAAGATGGTTTTATTTCTTCCTTTCCAAAATGGAGGCCTTTTATCCTTTTTCAGCCTCACTGTATTACGCTGTGTAGGACTTCAAATGCAGTGTTGAATAGGAATTGTGAGAGTGTATGTCCTTTCCTTGTTCCTAATGTTAGGGGAGTAGTGTTGTTTTTCATCTTTAATTGAATATGTTGTTGTAAATGTATAGGCTTTTTGTAGATACCCTTTAGCAGATTAAGTAAGTTTCCTTTAATTCCTAGTTTGCTGACTACTTACCCTGAGTGGCTGTTGGGTTTGTCAGATGCTCTTCTGTGTCTGTTGATACGATCGTATATATTTTTTTCTTCTTAGTTTTTTAGTCTGGTGGATTACATGAATTGACTTTTGAATGCTGAATTAGCCCTAGATTCCTGGGATAAATCCCACTCATGATGCATTAATGTATTGTATTTTTTTATTTGCTAAAATTTAGTTGAGGATTTTCCATCTGTGTTCATGGATGGCCTAATCTATAGTTTTCTCATAATGTTTTTGTCTGGTTTTGGTATTGGGGTAATATTGCCTTCATAAAATGAAGTGGGAAAGTTCCCATACCTTCTGTTTTCTGGAAAAGATTGTGTAGAAATAGCATTATTTCTTCTTTAAATATTTGGTAGAAATTGCTACTGAAATCACCTTGTTTTGGAATTTTCTTTTCTGGAAGGGTTTTTTTTTTTAAGATTTTATTTATTTATTCATGAGCGACAACACACACACACACACACACACACAGAGAGAGAGAGAGAGAGAGAGAGAGAGAGAGAGAGAGAGAGAGGCAGCGACACAAGCAGAGGGAGAAGCAGGCTCCATGCAGGGAGCCTGATGTGGGACTTATCCTGGGTCTCCAGGATCACACCCGGGGCTGAAGGCGGCGCTAAACGGCTGAGCCACCCGGGCTGCCTTCTGGAAGGGTTTTAATTACATATTCAACTTTTATTTTTTTAAAGATTTTATTTATTCAGCGAGACACAGAGAGAGGCAGAGACAAAGGAGAGAGAGAAGCAGGCTCCTTGAAGGGAGCCCGATGTGAGACTTGATCCCAGGATCCCGGGATCACACCCTGAGCCAAAGGCAGATGCTCAACTACTGAGCCACCCAGGCATCCCTACATATTCAAGTTTTAAAACAGATACAAAAAAATAAAAAAAATAAATAAAGAAAAAAATAAAACAGATACAAGATTCTTCTGGTTATTTTTTTCTTTAGTGAATTTTTATAATTTATGCTTTTCACAGAATTTCACAGAATTTATGTGTTATTTCATATAAGTTGTCCAGTTTATGTGTATAGAGTGGTATGCATTTTTCTCTTATTATCCCTTTAATTGCTGAGGGGTCTGTAGTGATAACCTCTCTTTTGTTTGATATTGGTAATTTATGTCTTCTCTCTCTCTCTCTCTCTCTTTTTTTTTGCAGTCTTGTTAGAGGTCTATAAATTTCATCAATCATTTGAAAGAACCATCTTTTTAAATAGATTTCTTTTCTGTTGTTTTTCTGCTTTCCATCTTATTGTTTTCTGCCCTTATATATAGTATATCAGTCATTTTGCTTGCTTTGGGTTTATTTTGCTCTTACTATAGCTTCTTTTTTTTTTTTCTTACTATAGCTTCTTAAGGTAGAGACTTAGATTGTTGATTTGAGACTTTCTTTCTTTCTTTCTTTCTTTCTTTCTTTCTTTCTTTCTTTCTTTCTTTCTTTCTTTCTTTCTAAGATTTTATTTATTCATTCATGAGAGACACAGAGATAGAGGCAGAGACACAGGCAGAGGGAGGAGAAGCAGGCTCCATGCAAGGAGCCTGATGCGGGACTCGATCCCTGGACCCCAGGATCATGTCCTGGGCCGAAGGCAGGTGCTCAACTGCTGAGCCACCTAGGTGTCCCCAAACCTTTCTTGTTTTCTAACACATTTAACAGTATAAGTTTTCCCCAGTCACCACTTTAACTATATCCTACAAATTTTGATATATTTGCATTTTCATTTAATTCAGAATATCTTCTGATTTCCTTTGAGATTTCCTCTCTAACCCGTGGATTGTTTAGAAATGTATTGTTTAATTTCTAAGTACTTGGGGATTTTCCAACTTCTTTCTTTTATTGATTTCTAGCTTAAGTTTATTATGGTCAGAGAGTATGGTTTGATTTCAGTTCTTTTAAATTTGTTAAATTTTGTTTTATGACCCATGATATCTATGGGCATATCCATGAATAAGTAAAGTGAACCTAGGGAAAGTTATAAAATAGCACAACAGCCAACCGTATGTTCTACATCTAGATTCATTGATTAATATTTTGCCACATTTGCTTTATTCTTTTTTTCTGTCTCTCCCTACTCACCAGAGAATTAATTGCAGACATATGACAGCACCCTTAAGGACATTAGCATGTATCTCTTACTTAGGACATTCTCTTGCAAAATCATAATACTCTTACCTAATGCAAAATTGTTATTCAATCCCCCCACTTATCCTTATGGAGCTTTTTTTTTTTAAATTTTTTTTTATTTATTTATGACAGTCACACAGATAGAGAGAGAGAGGCAGAGACACAGGCAGAGGGAGAAGCAGGCTCCATGCACCGGGAGCCTGATGTGGGATTCGATCCCGGGTCTCCAGGATCGCGCCCTGGGCCAAAGGCAGGCGCTAAACCGCTGCGCCACCCAGGGATCCCCTTATGGAGCTTTTTTAAATTCAGTATTTATTGTATGATTTCATTGCACTTAGTAATCGTGCCTCCCTTACTTCCATTTATTTAAAAGAGTTCCCCAACCATTTTTACTTTAAGATTGTCATTAAGATTTTTGAAGAGTTCAAGCCTGTTATTTTGCAAATGTCCTTATATTTGGATTTGTGTGATGCAGGGAAAAAGTGACAGGCAGGAACTTTTTAAATGAAATTGCTTGCATTCAATGATTTATTTCAGGAAGGACAGTATGTCGGTTTGCCCCACCACTGGTGATATCTATTCCCTTGATTTAGGGATAAATCCAGTAGTGTCTACTGGATTTCTAAATTGTAATGATACCAGGGCACCTGGGTGGCTCAGTTGGTTAAGCATACAACTCTTGATTTTGGCTCAGGGCATGATCTCAGGGTCATGGGATCAAACCCCATGTCAGGCTCTGTGCTCCTCAGTGGGAGGAGTCTGCTTGGATTTTCTTTCTCCCTCCTCCACTTCCCTCTCTTTTCTCTCTCTCTCAAATAAGTGAATTTTAAAAGATAGATAGTATCTTTTCCTTTTGTAATTAATAAGCCATCTGTGGGGTAATATCTGAAGCTGGGTGAATGGCATGTTCTCCAATGATCTTCTATCTGATGCTTTTAGCACTGCTGATTCTTACCTGAAGCAGTGGTTACCATAGTGGTTGTAGAATGGTGATTTTCTGCTCCTTTTATGCTTCTACATTTACTAACTGGATTTCTTGTGTAAAGAAGAGATTTGCCTCTTACTTTCCTTTCGTTTTCTTTCTTTTCTTTCTTTCCTTACTTATTATCAGTGTGGAGACATGAATTCTTTCCTCAGTCAGTATCCATTCCAGTGCTCAGCTTGTCTTAAATTTGGCTAGTGAGAACCACTTACTCCTGGGTTGGTACAGTTGCAGCAGAGGTAAGTCTTCTGTAGTTAACATTTCAGTCCATTCGTAGCCTTAGGAGCTATGGGGATTAATGCAGGCACCATGGTTTAGACCTTGCTTTCGATAACCCTTCTGTGCTTATTTTCCAGCAAATCACTGAATTGAAGAAAGAAAACTTTAATCTAAAGCTCCGCATCTATTTCCTGGAGGAAAGAATGCAACAGGAATTTGATGGCCCCACCGAACACATCTATAAAACTGTGAGGTCCCACTTCTCACTGCCACCCCCGGTGTCTTTGCTTGTAGTCCTTCCCAGCAAAAATTTGATTAATATTTGTTCTCAGTTAGCTTGAATAGACAGAGCTGCTTTCATTTAATTTGAATTGATTATGGGCAGCATAAAGACAATAGGATGATCTTAATATTAAGCAAAGAGATGCGAGATTAATTTTAAGGGAATCTTTTCTCCCTTTTTAAAATCCAGATTCTGATTTACTGTCTTTATTTATCTCAGTTGCCTTTTCTTAATTATTTATAATTTAGATGAAAGCTGTGAAGTGGTGAAATGTCTTTGGAATTGTAGAGTCCAGGTAACTACTGTTACCAAGTAACTCGTGTTAGTTGGTAAGTCGTGTTACCAACTCGTTGCAGATTCCAGGTAATTCCTGTTACCAGCTAACTCGCGTGGCCATAGGCAGGTTACCTCAGCTCTCTGGGCTTGCTTTCAGAGGGAGGTGATAATCCCTCTGTCACAGAGTTATTTGTGTGGATTAGAACGAGATGACAGATGAAGAGCCGCAGCACACAGTCAGTGCTTGACAGTTGTCATCATTGTCTTACTGAGCTTCCCTTGGCAGCCCAGAGTTAGGACTGTCAGTTTTCTGTGCTGTGACTCTTCTGTGTTCCTCGTGGACGTACTTGTAACTGTCAGAAAAAACGTCTGTTTCCATCTGAAGTCTTGACCTGGGGGCCTCTGCCTTCAAAGTGGAAAACAGAACTTGGCTTTCTTGAAAGGACATGAGTATAAACAATATTTCAGTGCCCATTTTTTGGCTTTCTCCAATAGGTTAGTCCTTGGCCTGGGAATTATTCCATCTTTTCTCTTCTGAAGTTTGCACCAGTAGAAACTTTTGAAGGGGGAGAAGGACCTCTATTTGGGGGTCAGCACATGAACTTAAACAGGCTTGAATAGGGATTGTATTGTACTTCTGAGCCTTTGCAAGAATTAAAAAGCTCCCTTGTCCCATAAGACAGTTTCCCCTCCCCCCCCCCCCTTTAATGTGAGAGTGAAAAGGCAATGAGGGTGTCCCCTTTTCTGGAAGGGAGTGAAGATGCAATCACAGTTTGAAGGAAAAACCAATAGCCTAAAACATTTTATATGTAAGTATGGTTACATACTTCTAGGGCGATGGGGAGCCAAAGTGTAATTGCTTGCTCTGTGTCTGGCACTGTCCTGGGCATTTGTACATCTTATTTTAATTCTCAAGACAGCCCTGTGCAGTGGAGATTATCCTCATCTTGCAGAAGAGGACACTCAAGTTCAGGGAAGATCAGTAACCTGCTTGATGTCGTATAGCTACTCTGAGAGGTGGATTTTGAATGTAGGCCTGCTGACCTAATTGTACTATGCTGTTTAGCTTTTTTTTTTTTTTTTTTTTTTTTACGCAGTCTGCTTAGATGACCTGATTTAATTGTACTTTTATTTCAAGTTTTTAGATAAGAGTACATGGCTCAAAATTCAAAAAGCATCAAAGGAATACACTTAAAAGACTTTCATCCATCCTTGTCTCCTAGTTCCCCAGATCTAACCAATGTTATTAATTATTTATGCAGAGGAATTTTATTTATATACGAGCAAGTGTGTGTGTGTGTGTTTGTATAAATCCCCTTTTTACAGAAATGCAGGCACATTCTGTTCTGCACCTTGCATTTTTCTTTAACAGTATCTTGGATATCTTTCCTTAGTGGTTTAAGAACTTCATTCTCTTTTATCGTGATATTCCATTTTCAGCTTATTAGGGATCTTGATTTATGGTTTGGAAACTGATTGCCACATGTGTAAGTTTATAACTTGAGGTATTGGGCTTGAGAAAAATAGACTAGTGGACACATTAGCCCTCCAACCTTTTAGATTCATGGGTTGGGGTGCCAGTTAGTTCGTCAGAAAACAGTTTAGATTATCTGGTGTCAGTTCCTACTTAGAAATTCTCTGCCCTTCTTAGAGCGGAAGAGGAATCCTCTGGTCTTCACAAAACCAGTCGGAGACTGATGCACTGGCATGCAGTGTCCTTTATGCAGAGATCAGCATCTTTTAGAAAACGTTCGGCCTCACAGATGACTTGTTTAGTTGCCATTGCTAACACTGAAGAAAATAACAATTTTGAGCCCTGTCTGCTAGGCTCCTCTCATCTGTTAGCTCATTTGCTCCTCAAATCCCCCACGTCAAGGGGGCTTATATTGTTCATTTGACGCATGAGTGGCCTGAAAGGAGAAGCTTTGCTTTCTTACCTCCTGGACTTGTATTTCCAAGGACAATTATAGGCTCGTGCTTCTAGTTTCCTAGCTGATGCTAGCCGGAAGGCAGGGGCTGTGTCTGCCCTGTGTACCACCGTGTCCTCCGCGCCTGGCCCCATACTTGGCTTCTTACAGGTGATTGGTATATTTCTGTGATGTGAAAGGATGAGTAAATGAGCAGCCGCTGACTTGGGATGGTTTCCTCCTGGTATAAGGAGGGGAGGCAGAATTTGAACCCATGTCCTCATTAACGGATTGGTTTTCATTCTGGCTGGCTTCTCATGCTGGGGTCCTCGTGCCCCTAGGGCTGTTGGCAGAAAGGTGGGAGGCATGTCCACTGAGATTGTAAATTTTACTGGGAATGTGATTCTTGTTTAAAATAATATGCATGTATTATGGAGTAGGATGTAAAATTGATGTGAATTATGAAAACAGGAGCAAGATTTCAGGGAAATCTTGGGTTTATAGCAGTCCCGTGCAAACTACACACTCAGAGGCCAGTCTCCACAGCGTGAGTTCCTGTAGTGCTTTGTTGGATACATCCGTGGACCAGTTTGGGCAGAAGCCCCCCCACTGCCCCGCTGTCTCACATTGCAGCCTGTTTGCCGGAGGCTCAGTCTTCGGGTTCTCCTATGAGTTAGAAGCCCGAGGCCACGTGTGACTAGGATGGTTGGCTGGAGAGCGCTGGAGTCCTTATAGACAGCTTGCCCCGTGCAGTCGTGGCTCTTTCCTAAGAGCCCTGGAATCTTACACTGAAACGAGGTGGGCAGTGATGTGCCCCCCCCCCCCACTTACCTGTCCACAGGTTTTATTTATTTTTTTTTGAAGCTGTACCACGATCCCACTGCCATGATTGTAAACAACCAGAAGTAATTGCCTTGGAATGGTAAAAGCAAACTGCAGAATTGCTTGTAAATTTGCTTGGCGGAGGGCAAACAATTTTTAAATCAGCCTCACTTGTATGACATTTATGCCTCAGTGTTTGAATGCACTGGCTGTTAGAAGCTTGGAGAATTTACATAATTGTTCCAAGTCTTGAGAAATCCAGGGCTTTCTTTGGAGACCACCAGTGTTTAATAATTCCCTTCTCCCTGTGCCCTGAGGCTAATGAGGTCTTGAATCTAGCATCTGCCCATTAGAAGCATCCTGTAAGTGAGTCTGTGCTGAAAGCCGCTTCCCCACCGCAGACAGTCATGGGTCCTGTATTTTACACTGTTCCTTTTCTCTCCTGATCATGCCCGGAAGAACATCGAGCTCAAGGTGGAAGTAGAGAGTCTGAAGCGGGAGCTCCAGGAGAGAGAGCAGCTGCTCATCAAAGCCTCGTGAGTACCTGTCATCTGTCAAGCTTGCAGGGCGCCCGGGGGCCTGGTACCGGAGGCCGGGTGGGCCCGTAAACCACAGCCTGGTGCTTTCTCAGCCGGTTGTTGGCTGGGCCCTGAGAACCCGCCAGGCCCTGAGGACTCCCAGGAGGTGATCATTTTTATTTAATTCGTCTTCAGCAGACTTTTGAAGTGTAATTCACTTGGGGGAAAACGTTCCCCTCCTAAGTGTACAGCATGATGACTTTTCGCTAAGCGCACACGGTTCCATGGGCCACCATCCAGATCAAAAACCAGAACATGAGCACCCCCAGAAGTCCCCTTTGTGCTCCCAGAGCTTATCCTTCTCCATCAGGATAACCCCTGTGCTTCGTTCTGCCCATTTTTGAACTTTATAGGAGTGGAATCGTACACTATACACACACCCTTTGGCGCCTGGCCTCCTTCCCCACCATATACTTGTGCGATCCGTCCACGTCCTCACTTCTAGCAGTAGCTCATTCATTTTCATTGCTGTGAGAGCCCCAGATCCTGAGGGACTCCTGTGGTGAGTGAGGCTGGGGGGCCGAGGGTAGGGCTTTAATCAGAGTAACTCGTTTTGTATCTGTCCAGTGCACTGGGGTTTCTTGTAATATTTTGTTTCAGAGAGGTGTCCTGCTTGAAACATAGTTGAAAACTATTATTTTAGTCACACAATTAACTTAAATATATATTGAACAATAAGCCCAGTTTAGAGGATACAGTCTGTGGCTCCGTAGCTTGTCCATTCATTCCTAAACACGTGTTCGGTAATCGTGCCGTACACTGGGAATTTGCAACGAGACCTCCCCTCACTTCGGCAGCTCGGCAGGCTGGTGAGCTCCCTAGCACCCCTGGAGCCTCCCGGAGGCGCAGTGACAGAGGGGAGTCCAGCGGGGCTCCAGTGGGACACCAGAGTGCACAGAGCTTCGCCCAGCGAGCGAGGGGTAAGACCTCTCCGGGCTGACCCACCAAGGATCTGGCTGAAGCTCGTGTGGAAATGCGCCACTTGTCCTGGGAGCCGAGCCGCTGGATCTGCTGGGCCAGGAGCATGGGGTCGTTGGCTTATTGGGACCTAGCTGCTCCGCTCTGGGCCAGGCTGTGGATTCCTCCCATTGCCACACGGCCAGCTGCTGGGAGTTGGGCCGCCGCTGGCTTTGGGGACACTAGGGGCTCCTGGGTTCAGGCTTTTCCGAATTACGGTGACCTTGTACACATGGTATTTTCTGAATAAGCGAGTGAATGAGTGAGTGTGAGTGAATAATAGTAAATATGTTTTTGGTCTTTTGGTTGCTGTTGCTATTTTTTTTGTTTTGTTTTGTTTTTTGAAGCACATCATTTCTCTGGCGGGAAGTCAAATCCGCTTTACCAAGTCTGGAAGTCAGTAGTGGAATTTGAATTTGGTCTGTTTCGTCCTCAGCGCGCTGCCTGCTGCGGGCCTTAGCTAGGACTTGGCAGCAGGCACGTACGCACGGAACCCAAACTCAGGAAGGCTGCGGGCTCTCTTCGTAGCACTCGCGGGGCAGGAGGTTTTCAGGGCTCGTGCACGTGTTTGTACGTGCGGATCCCCACACTGCCCCAGCAGACCTTTTTTGTTCTGACCGGTTTTATTAACTTACACAGAAAGAGATTTCTTAAGCAGCTTCTGTGTGCTGCACTGGCCTAGGTTCCTGGGGCTGCAGTGTGATCCAGACAGACACGCGGAGGGGTGGTGGCGAGGAAATCCTTGGAATAATCAGCATATGAGTACAGAGTGGGAAGAGAGCCCTGAGAAGACGGGGGGTCGGAGCAGATCTGCAAATAGACACGTGTCCGAGGAAGGGGTCCCGAGGACGGAGTTCTCAGGGGGGATGCGAGGAAGCCGTAGGAATTGACTGCTGCGCGTGCAGCTCTGAGGAAACACGTCCTGCCGGGTCTTGAGGCCACAGCAGAGGTTCTCCCAAGGTCAGCGGAGCGCAGTCGTGGGTTTTGAGCAGCGGACCCAGTGAGAGTCGAGTCGCGTAGAGGTCCCCGGCTGCTGAGTGGGAAGTGCTTCGTAGACAGAGCACCGGGGAGGCAGGGGGGTCGGGCTCGGCTGGCAGCTCCGGTGAGGGTGAGGGTCGGTGGTAGACGTGGAGGGCGCGGCAGAGGGGCGTTCGCGGCTTGGTAGTGGATGGGAAGGCGGATGTCCGGCCTGACGCCTAGGTTAGGGGTTCAGGTCACGGGCCCTGTTTAAGAATGTTCACGATGACGTGATGGCTCCCGCTCTCCACCCCGGCTCTCTCTCCCGCCCGCAGCTCACAGACACCAGAAGCTCTGTTCCTGCTGCTGCTGCAGCTTGCCCTGGCCGCCGCCTCTGCCTCGTGTCCCCCCCAGTCCACGTGCCTCCCGTTACTGGCGGGTGGCACATGGCTGCCTGGAGCCCACCTTGCAGTCTCCTCGCCAGCTTCTCTGGCAGATCGTCACACTCGTAGGCGGGCCCTGCTCTGCAGTTTGAATCTCAGGCAGGCTCCACGCCCAGGCCGGAGCCTGACGCGGGGCTCGGTCCCATGACCTCGAGGTCACCACCCGAGCTGACCTCGACAGTCACACACTTACCGAGCCCCCAGGCGCCCCCGGTACTTTACAGTTGATGAAACACTTGCCTCCGTTTGCGTGCCATCATCTCCTGGGAGCTAGGCTGAGCCTGAGGAAACCCTCAGTTTGGGGGGATCAGGCCTGGAGAAGGGAAGGAGCGTGACGAACACCCCTTCGGCGGGATGGTCGAAGCTGGCGTTTGAGCACGAGCCCCTAACTTGTGCTCCAGCACTGGTTTCGTATCCTTTCATCTCTTGTAAGGCCACGAGCCTCGTCTCCCTTAGCGGAATGTGGGGCTTCTCAGCCGTTCCTCCTTGCGGGGCCTCTGCGCCTTGCCTGCCGTGGGACAGCACGGTTCCTGCCACCTTCCTGCTAACTGTGCCTTTCCCTTCACCCCAGCTGCTCAGCACCTACAAGCGTGTGAGGGTACATCCTTGTGGTGGAAAAAACACCTTTATTAATGCCAACTCCCTTTTACACTTTCATGGTTGTTTTGGGGGGGTGGCGGGGTGGAGGCAGGTGGGAGATGTGGGGCCCTCCCAGGAAGCCCCTGCTTTTTCTCATGAACTATAATTAGAATGGAAAGGCTCAAGAGGAAGTGTTGACAGTTAAACGGGGTAGTGGGGTGGTATTTATAGAAGATTCTTTTTTGTGTCGAGTGGAATGCTGGATGAGACCACTTTGTCCCACCCTTTCCTCGCCGTAGGTCGTGCTCTCTGTCTTGTCTGTTGGCCCAGATTCTGTAAGAGAGACGGGGGATGAACTGGCGTTTATTGAGACCCTCCTTTGCCCACAGCCTGCGCCTGCCGCCGGGCCTGCTCTGTCGGTGTCCCCCTGCTGCGAGGCGGCCCGTAGTCCCGTTCGAGTAGAGTACGGAGATCGCTGGGGCTCCGGGGAGCTGGGGAGCCTGGTTTGGTAACAGAGCTGGGATGGGTCTGGCTCCGGAGCCCACTGTGCCCTGTTGTGGAGAAAACACGTATGTGTGCTGGCTCTCGTTGTTGTATTTATCATTTACGATGAGGGGACATTAACAACAAAGCAGACATACTGTCGGGAGTAAATTTTAACTCTGTAGCTTTAAAACACAAACAAAAATAATAATTCCATTAGTAGAGGCAAATTGCACCATACTGCTGAGTATAAATTTTATTGCTACAGTAACTGTAAAATACAAAGATGATAAATGAAAAGTTGGAACATTTATTATTGGGAATATATTTTATTGGTATAACTAAAATGCAAACAAACTGAGTAATACCAGGACTTGTTAAAAATTGTAGTCCGCCTCTTGACAACGTCTGTGTTTCCATCTATAAAACAGCCAGGCTCCATCTGAGCCGATAGAAAGGAGACGGTGTATTTGCCCTCGCTGGGCAAGGGTTGGGCTGAGGGTCGGGGGAGGAGGCTCTAAAGCCCAAGGGCCAAGACACTCAGGGTGATTAGTGGGAACTCAGGACCGGAAAAGTCCCATAGCCAGGGCTCAGGGGGGAGAGCCTCCAGTCCAGAATTCTTTCAGGCACATGTACGACCTTTCGAGGCCTGATAGAAAGGACTGGGTCCCTGTGGACTCCAGACAGCCCCGCGGGAGAAGTGAGCCGAGGGGTGGGGGCCGAGGACATTTCGGGGCGTTAGTCGGGGGTGGCAGTGGTGGCCTTCATTCTGGCCAGAGGATGACCTGTTGTCAGCTCGCAGGGACGGACGGGTCTCTCCCAGCATCTCGGCAGGGGCTGTGGGGGCCCCAGGGACAGCAGGCGGCACCCAGACCGGAGACGGAGGGGCCCCGTGCCGAGGCCGCCACAGGTGTTAGCACGTTCATGCTAAGAGGCAGGCCGGTCATTCTTCAGCTGAGGAAACTGAGGTTTAGGAGTCATTTACCCGGAGGCACACTGAGGACGTGATAGAGGACGGGTTAGGAAGCAAATCTGTTCAAGCATCAGAGTCCGTGTTCTTTCTTTCCGTTGTTCACGTTGAATTCCATTAAAATGATGTCATGACACTGGGGCCTTCTGAAGGCTTCTTGGTGAAAGAAGCTCGGTATGAATGAGGCCTTTATTTGCAGGCAGCTCAAGTCCGAGACTTGGACAGCAAGTGCGGCCCTCTTGACTTTCCATTGTTCTCAGCCAGCAGCTCACGTGGCCTGTACATGTGAGTGCTGCTCACTTGGCTCTGGGGTGGGGACATTTTATATGCCCCTAAAGTAGGGCATGGGAGGCTGGTGGTGAATGGATTTGTTCTGTTGCAGTTTTTCCGAGAAATCAGCTTTAGGTGGAGCCATTTCCTTTATTATCCTGCCTCCTAGTACCCTGCAATCATTTTAGAAATCTGATGAGAACTGCTCTGAGTGTACGTCTCGCAAATTCGTATCTGACGCTGTTTTTCTCTTGAGGAGAACCAAAACGAAAGGCGTCCGTGGTTGTGGTCCTGTGTCTGATTTTGGTGTTGCATCCCCACCACTCGGTCCAGTGGATGGAACATTCTGTGGTGCCACAGCTGTGCGAACTCCGCGTTTGACGGAGCGTGGGTTGCTTGCACAGGCCCCTCTCCTCATGCCCTGAGTGGTAGCCAGTGCTCCCAGATGGACCATGCTGTATGTAAGATGCTTTCCTCTCTGGTTGCCAAAAGATGGTGATAAAAGCCCTGGATCCTTCAGGTTTATTTTTGTGGCATGCTGCTCCTTTGCACCTCGGTTTGTCAGCCCAGCTCTCCCCGTCTCCTGCCACTGGCGGAGGGGTAATTTTTTGGGCGTTTCCTGGTGGGAAATTTGGCAGTAGCTCTCAGAAGTCTTCCAAGTGTGCCCCCCCTTTCACCCAGTAAGTCCCCTTGTAGGAATTGACCCTAGGAACTCACTGGGTAGCATACATACAAGGATGCTTTTATTGTAGTGTTGTTTATAATACAATAAATAATAACATTAACATTTGTTTGAGTACTTTGTGCCCGGGCACTGTGCTTTACAAGTATTTTCAGACAAACATGTAAAATCAGAATTCTAATTTTTTTTTTCCATCTGAATGTTTTATTCTTTATTTTTATTTTTTTTCAAAAATATTTTATTTATTTACTCATGAGAGATAGAGAGAGAGAGAGGCAGGGACACAGGCAGAGGGAGAAGCAGGCTCCATGCGGGGAGCCCGATGCGGGACTCGATCCTGGGACTCCAGGATCACGCCCTGGACTGAAGGCGGCGCTAAACCGCTGAGCCACCCAGGGATCCCCTCCATCTGAATGTTTTAAAAATAGGAGATTGAGGCATGTCAACTGTACTTCAAATAAGAAACAGGGGATTTAATATATTACAGTGTATTTTACACAGTGAATTAATATGTAGCCTTTAAAAATGACAAGAGATTTATGTTTATTGACACAGAAGGATGTTTATAGTGTTTTAAGTGTTAAAATCAGGTCATACATACATGATTCTCTTTTTGTAGAAAATCTCTGAAAGGCTGTGTGCTAAAATATTCACTTAGTTATTCTGACTGGTAAGATTCTAGATGATTCTCCTTTCTTGATTTGTGTTTACATATATGTATTTTGACCTGGGGTGTAGTTGACATGTAACGTAGGAGTTTAAGGTGTACATGTTGGTTGATTTGATACATTCATATATTGCACTATGTTTTTGAATTACAAAGATTTTAAAAAAAAAAGCACAGGCTTGTGGGAGAAGTGATGAACAGATATTCCTTGTCTCTCTGGGGCCATTGAAATCCCCGTCCAGCTGTCCCCCGTGTGGATTTTACACCTTTGCCCCTTTTTGCAGCAAAGCGGTTGAGAGCCTGGCTGAAAGGGGCGGCTCTGAAGTTCAGCGGGTGAAAGAAGACGCTCAGAAGAAGGTGCAGCAGGTCGAAGATCTCCTAACCAAAAGAATATTCCATTTAGAAGAGGCAAGTCTGGAAACCCCGAGGAGACTGTGTTCTGACAGTGGGTCAATAGTGAGGCCTGGGGGGGGGGGGGGCGGGGGACAGAATTTTGTTCCTTTTTCCCTAAACCTTCAGAGTTTCAGCAGAAAGAGGAGCCACCCTTAGGGGTCATCTCGTGGGTTCCAGCCTTGTCTTAGGTGCTTTGTGTGTAGAATTTGTACCCTTACCTCCTGCAGACGAGGACAGCGAAGTACAGACTCAGTAGTCTAAGTTTGGTCCTGGATTCCAGTCTCCGTGGCTGCTGATTTTAAAGCCTGGGCTCTTCTTACCTAGTTCAGTTCCTTTGGTTTTACAGAGGAGGAGACCGAGGCTCAGCGCGGGGAAGTGATTCACCTAACACGCGCAAAGCCTGGAAGTGGATTCCAATTTGTGGGCTGTTGTGTGGCCACGCGGCCCCGTCCCTGGCACCTGGCCTCCAACCCCCGTCACCCCGCTGTTCACCGAATGCCTTTTCTTGGGTGGGGGGCACCGCATGTGGCTTCTCCTGCTCGATCTCAGGTGCTTCCTGTGTTCCTGTCAAAACGATGGGAGGCAGGATGTGTCTTGGCTAAAAAAATCCTGTCCCCTAGAAGGTAAAAGTTTCCGTCCACATGCAGTTAGTATTAAGTGACACTAGTTATTTCATTCTTGGTCTTTGAAGGCTCTTATGCCATTTCCCTTTCTGCCTCTGAAACCTGGCTCTTCTCCATGCCGGGAGGAGCAGCCCCACAAAGCACTTCTGGAAACAAAAGGGAGATGCACTGGTGCTGTACTTTGCAGCTAACAGTGGTCTTTCCATTCATGGTGTTCACACCAGCCCCATGGGGCTGTGTAGATCCTAGGTCCAAAGTACCGGCTAGGGACCGCTCTGAGGGCGAGGAGCTGAGGCTTTGTCGTAAGCCATAGAGCCGGTACCGCAACAGGAGTCCTCCAACCCCATGTTCCCAGTGTTCCCCGGAAGGGCTGTCCAGTGGTGTAGGGTGCCCGTGTGGCTGCCACACGGTGCTGGGCCAGCCCTCTGCTCTGTCGCTTATTGGCCCCGTCCCTCTCCGAGCCTCTGCCGCCGCGTCTGTGAAGGGAGGCTGGTGACGTCTGCTTTGCAGTAGTGATTGTCCTAACGGCAGTGGTTCTGGCAGCCTGGGGGCCTGCGAGTGTGAGGCCCCCTCAGCCTGTTCGTCATCCATTCAGGTCATCCTGTCAGTAAGCCTGGAAGGTTAATACTTTTATCGTTCTTTTTAAAAACAGACACATGCGCCAGGCACAGAGTGGCCAAGCCCCTTGCTCAAGGTCACACAGGCAGTAATGCCGGGAGCTCCGGCCGTAGAACCTGCCTTCTAATAAACTGCTGCAGTGTGTCTCTCGGCACATAACTTTGTAGGGTTAGGTAAGGAACAAAGATAAATAAAGCTCCTGGCTCAAAGCCTGGCATGTAACAGGCACTCACTAAATAGGTTTTGTTTGTTGTCTCAGAATATTGGGGAATGGCTTGTCCCAGCTCTCCATGAGATTGCCAGGCAAGCCTGGTGGGGAGGAGAGGCTTTCCCCCCCACCCAAGTGGGAGCAGTGGCGGGGAAGGCCCCGTGGAGGGAAAGGGCAGGGAGGAGGAAGCAGCCTGTTTCTGAGCTTCCTGTGATGGGGCAGGCATCGGACGGAGCGTCGGAGCAACTCCTTGGTGGGATGGTGGTGATCCCTGTCGTACGGATGAGCTCGGGCTCAGAGAGGCTAAGGGACTACCCAGTGTCCCACAGCAAATCATCAGGAAAGCTGGGTTTGAACCCAGTTGGATTCGACTTTTACCTTTGTGATGTAATCAGAGGCCATGGGCACTTGGAGATCCGGATCTACCCCGGGTCACTCCTGAGCACCGGGGTGCTTTGCCCCAGCGTGGGCACTGCCTGCGTGATTTAGATACTTTTTTGGTGGGCCTCTCTGAGCTCTCAGGAAGAACGTGGTTTTTTTCCACCACCGACGTCACCTTGGAGATGTAGAAAATGTACTTGAGAATTGTGTAGTCATCATCTTAAGAGAAATGGGGGGAGGGCGGTGGGGTGTGGGATGAATTTGTATGGAGATTAGGGGGACTCTGGAATTTATGTATGTGTAAGTATTGAGAGGCACATTTCTTCTTGTTCACACTGAAGCTGTAAATATTGATCTGATTTTTCAAATCCAGAAGTACAGTTTTTGTAGACTTGAGTCTTTTCCATTGGAAATGCCTATTACTCTTCAGGATACAAGAGGGAAAAATGGCTGGCAAATGTATTTATTACTGATTCTCCCCATGTATAGTACAATTCAGGGAGGGGAAATGTGCCGGAGAAAAAGTCATAAATATTTATATTTTAATCCAATTTCCTTTCAAAATGTTCCCAATTGTATTGAAAAATTGCATCAAATGCATTTAATTTAACTTTAGGATGTGAAAGCTGCCCAAGCAGAACTGGAAAAGGCCTTTGCGGGGACGGAAACAGAGAAGGCTCTTCGGCTGAGCTTGGAAAACAAGCTTTCAGAGATGAAGAAGAGGCACGAGGGGGACGTGGACATGGCTGTCGTCCTGGAGCAGAAAGACAGGTCTGGCGCTTATCTCTGCGACTCACTGATATCCCTTAATCGGGCAGCCTGGCGGGAAGGCTGTTTCCTTCCTCTTTGATCCTTCCTTTCTCTGCTTGTTCCCCCACGGTGAGGAGACCTGGAGAAAGATCAGGATGGAAGGACAAGGAGTAGGGTAGCGATATGAGGACAGGGACAGAATTCTAGGTAGAAACTTCTGCCGATAAGGTCTGTTCAGATACGAAATGTAGCCTTCAGTTCCGTAGTAAGCTTCCCGGTAACCAGAGGAAAGAGAGAAAAGCAGTCTTGATGAACACAAGAGTCACATTGCTCCCAAGAGAAAATGAGCCAGTAGCGCAGGAGAAGCCCAGTCTTACTTGACATTGTTGGGGAGAAAATTCTCTTGTGACTCTTCCCAGAGGGAACAGTAAGTGATTACATCCCCACAGTGGATGCCAGTGAGTTTCGTGTGACCTGTTTATCATCGTGTTGTTTTTTTTTTCTTTTAAAAGGTTTTATTTATTCGAGAGTGAGAGGCCGAAAGAGGGCATAAGCGGGGGTAGGGGTGGGGAGGGCACGGGGAAGGCGAGGGGCAGACTCGCGCTGAGCAGCGAGCCAGCCCGGTGCAGGGCGCGGTCCCAGGACCCCAGCGTCATGACCCGAGCTGAAGGCAGACGCGCACCTGACTGAGCCTCCCACTCGCCCCTCATCGTGTGTTTAATGCCGACCGAGGGCCCACGTTAGTGCAGTGCAATGGGCCGAGAAAGTGTAGACCCAGACAGGGCTGTCTGTCGGTCCAGGAATAAAATGGGTGCCGCCCAGTCCGGAGAAGCGGATGGGCCGTAGGGCCTTTAGGCACTCTTTAGTGCTCGGGCCTTACAACCAAACTTTGGATCAAAACTGGTCAGGAGAGAGTTGAGATTTTCTGCTTTCTCGTGATCCTTACATTTTGCTACTCTTGCCTTGCTTTGATGGTCACTAGGTAGAAGGTTGTATAAACTAAGTGAAACTTCTGGCTAACCTGTGACCTGTCCATTGAGGAGCCAGGCTCGTTTGGAATTTGACAGAAATTGTTCCAAAGCAAATGATCTAGTTTTTTCCTATTTCCTTAAGTAGAGGATACTGACTCTGGTTCCTTTTGTTTTGGTTGCTCAGTGACGTGTGATTGATGGGCCCACCGTGTTGTTTGGGTTCTGGTGCTGAGTTGCCCGTGCTCCCCAACTGCTGTTTGCTTCTCTTTCTGCCTCCATGCCACCTTTAGAGATTCAAGTCTGCAACTTGTCATGATTTTTTAGGATTATCTATAAAAGAGGAATGAATAGATTGTGAGGGAGAGGCATGGCTTCCACTTACTCAGGGTCCTAGCTTCAGTTTCTGGAGGAACTAGCACTTACTTGGTGCACTACAACCTTTTCTTAGCTTTGATCTGGAAAACTGAAGTTTTGGGATGAATCTCAGGAGGAGTCAGGAAGCAGAGTTCTCTGTGAGGAATAGGACCTCAGGGTTGAGTGAATGAGTGTTTTTCTCAATTACGTGGCTAGGAGGAGAAGCTTCCCTGGGTGGGTCGTTTGTTTTGTTTTGTTTTGTTTTGCTGGGCCTCCCCCTACAGGGTAGCAGCCTTTGCAGGCTGCGAGAGAGTCTGGAATCCTTTTCCATACAAATTATTTATACGTCCCCTTGTATCTCTCCCAACTGATGAGCCTTGAAGCCCTTCAGAGGTTTATAGGTTTGTCTTTCCTGGGGAACCTGCAGGCCTCCTGCTGTTAAATTGGAAAGAGGGAACCCAGGGAAGAGACTACAATGTGTGGGGGCAGCCACCAAACAAGAAAAGACAATTCCTGGTGCTGATGAAGAGAGAAGAAGGGAGAGGGCTAGGGGTGGGTCTGAGAAGTGATCGTGGGTGAGAGTGGATTAGAAGGGCCCTGCTGGGGTCCCAGCAGATGCTCAGCAGTTAGTTCCTTGGTCTGTTGGGTCATTATGCCCTTTGTCCAACAAGTACTTCCTGAGCATCTTTTGCTCAATAAGTGGTGGTTAGAGTACAGGTATGAATGGTACAGACTGGTCCCTCTGCCAAGGGACCTTACGTCACGGCGTATGCTTGTCATCTAGCTAGGTGGGGAGGGTGGAGGGCGGGAACAGAGTGAGAAGGGCCAGATGGAGAAGTGCTGGTTAACATAATCTTTCTAAGGTTGTTTAGAGGGATTAGGAAAGGCTTCTCCGTGGAAGTGTGAGGGTAAAGGAGGAGTTACTTGGAGGAAGAAATCGTGTTCCCCGCATTGGGAAGTTCAGAGGCCGGAGGGCACAGAGCATGACCCAGGGAGCTGACAGTAGTGTGGCTGGAGGGTTGTGTTCTGGAAGGGAGAGGGAAGCTGGCCTGATCACGCGGGCTTGTCGAATAGTTTGGGATTTGTCTTCAGGGCATGTGACAAACTGCTGATGAGTTAAGGGTAGGAGTTGGAGTAGTGTCAGGATCAGACTATAATTCAGAGCCATCCTTCTGGCTGCCCCTGGAGGATGGGTTGGCGGTGGGGCTGGGTGGGAAGACTGCTCTTGGGGCTGTTGGAGAAGTCCAGACGACGCATCATGGTGAGCGGAACTGAGCTGACGGAACTGGCTTGGAGTGTTCTCCAGCAGAGATGTTTAGAAGGTAGAATTGACACGATGGCTTGAAGGGCTTTATCATTGATGGGTTTGGGGATGAGGGGAAGGGCTGCAGAGATACCACCTCCTCACCCAGGTTTTGAGCATGAACAACTGTGGCATGACGGTGCAGTGTGCTGAGTTTGGGGAAAGAAGGGGAGAAAGAACAGATGTTTTTCGGTAGGGAGAGTGGGAAGATAAGCTTTCAGTTGGGACACGTTGGGTAGAGGGATCATGGATCCCTCCAAGAGTAGAGTCTAGAAGGTGCTTGAGGATGTGGTTTAAGGCTAGATTAAAGGAGGTATAGATTATTCCTTGACCAGCTGCTGAGCATGACCTTGGGTGAGGTGCCAGGGGTGGGGAGATAAGCAGTGTCTTCCTTACATGGCGCTCGCAGTGTGGGGGAGGGGACAGATGTGGAAAAAAGTGTCATGATTGGTGTTAGAGGTAAGTTCAGGGTTCTGTGCTGTGACCAAAGGGAGGAGGTGATCAGCTGTGCTTGGGCGTGGGGCAGGGAGGGCACATGCAAAGAAAGGTGCGAGCCTGGCGCCAAGCAGGGAATCATTGAGGAAAGGGGTCTCTGTCAGCATGTGCCGCAGAAGCTTGGCTTCTCCTCTTTTTGCAAGAGGGAATTTGGGGAGAATTGGAGCTTGCTGAGTACTTAGTGTGGTGCAGATGGGTAGGCGGGGGCTCTCCTTGTGCGGGGCGTCCGCTCAGGGCGCTGCCAGGGGCTGCATCTGGGGTTTCCCACAGGCCTGGCTGGAGAGGCGCAGAACCTGATTTGTCGGTACTGCCCGGTCGGCTCTCTGTCGGGGGCACGTGTGCGCCAGCCACACTCCAAGGGCCAGTGTGGCAGCCAGATGCCAGCTCCGGACTTGTGTCCCACGGGACCAGGGTCCTGTGTGCCCTCCCTGTAGGCCGGGCTGCCGAGGAGCTCCGGGGAGGTCAGGAGGTGAGCTGCCAGCAGGTCTGGGATGGGGTGCGTGGGCCAGCCCTGAGATAGATCCGGATGTGCAGGGCACCTCGGCCTGTTGCAGGGTGGGGCCCTTGCCCGGTGCAGCGCTGCTGCGGTCTCTCTGGGCTCCCTTCACCTTTTTGAAAGGTGAGTGCTTTAGCTACGTGACATCCTGCAGTGCGACCTTGGAGCGTGTCTGGTGAAGGCGGCTAACACTGAGGAGCCCTGCAGGTCACATGTGGCCACCAGATATGTTTTAGTTGGTCTACACAGTTTTATTTTATTTTATTTTATTTTATTTTATTTTATTTATTTTATTTTATTTTATTTTATTTTATTTTATTTTATTTGTTTATTTATTTAAGATTTTATTTATTTATTCATGAGAGACTCAGAGGGAGTGAGAGGCAGAGACACAGGCAGAGGGAGAAGCAGGCTCCATGCAGGGAGCCCGACGTGGGACTCGATCCTGGGCTGAAGGCGGTGCTAAACCGCTGAGACCCCCGGGCTGCCCTCCACAGTACTTTTAAAAGTCTGAATTCGTTGCTACTATTTTTTCTAAAGAAATCTAGTTTCATGTAAAACTTTGGATTTCCAGCTCCTTTTGAGAGCCTGGAAAGTGTGGCAAGTCTGGGCCGGGGTGGAGGCCGCTCCTGGGCGGAGGCCGCTCCTGTAGATGGGCCCGGGCTCCGGTCGGCCACACGTCCCACAGGCCTGCCTTGCTCCTTGCCAACCAGACACGGACCAGCTTGGTGGAAGTGGAAGTCCCGTACGACCCCGCACGGCTGCCTCAAGTGTTGGCTTCGTGACTTTTTACCTCTCCAGCGGGTCATGCGCCGCGTCCAGAGTAGGGCCCTAGAGGGCAGTGTGGCGCCTCTGTCCAGGGCCTGGGGGCTCTGCGCCGGGCGGCCGGGCCCCTCTGCCCAGTAGTCTAGCCCGCCCAGGTGCCCTCACGAGGGACCACGGATGGGGAAGCTCAGACGAGAGGAATTTCTTTCTTACAGTTCGGAGGCTGGCGGACGCGGGTGGCCTGCAGACCTCTCGCTGCGTCCCGCGGGGGAGGGGGAGGCATCTTGCTGGAGCCTCATTTGTAAGGCGCCGCTGGCACGCATGAGTTCCACCCGCGTGACCTACTCTCGTCCCGAAGCCCCACCAGGATTTCCATGCCTGAACCTCGGGGGGCCACGGACATTCAGGCCCCAGCAACAGTGCGTTGCCAGCCGCTTTTAAGTACTTTTAGTTGACTCTTCCCCTCACCCTGGGAGCCCGCGTCCCGAGCCTCTGCTCTTCCTACCGTTCAGGTTGCTTTCGAGGCTCGGCTACACGGAGGCTCTTCTGAGGGTTCGCTGACAAAAATGCTAATTGTTGAATGCTAAAAAAGGGTAATAATTATAGCAGCTGTCGTTTGTGGAGTTATGCTGTAAGCCTGGAGGTATGTTAGGCCGCGTTAGAGGTTTTGTGTCTAATCCACGCAAGCGAGCCGTCTTACAGCTGAGGTCAGATAACTCGGCCATGGTCGGGGGCGTAAGTTGGTGGCCCGGAGATGGTGTTCAGCTCTGCGCAAGGGGGGGTCCTCGGGCTGTGCTTGGCACAGTTTCCTCGAGGGGAGGTCACGGGCGGGGTGACGGGTGTGGACTAGCGGGCAGTGGGGATGGAGTTGTGCGGGGCATTCTAGGTGGAGGCACGGGTGTGAGCACGGGTCTGGGGGCACACGCGGCCGGGCTTGGGGAGAGAGCTGGAAGCGAGGCTCCTGGGTGCTGAGGGAGCAGGTGGCGCCTCCGAAAGAAGAACCTGAAGCTGCCAGCAGGGCCTCTGAGCTTCGAGGCCCTAAAAGCTAGGCCCTTGAACGCCTTGCTCACCGGCTTTGGCCTTTATCTGGAAAGTCTGTGCATTTTAAACTGTGCCCCGAGAAGCCAGGGAGAGAGGTGCTGGTTTTGCCGCCTCGCAGGGACGGTTGTGCCTTGTCGGCTGTGCTTGTTCAGGCTTCAGTGCTCGATTTCTTTTGCAGAGAAAATGCTTAGCCAAAAACCTCCTCGTCCGCTGCTGTCAGCGGGGCTGACACTGCTGTCAACAGTGGGGGCTGTTGCAAGTCTGAGCGAGGGGGGTGGCTTGACCCGACCGTAGTCTGGGAGCTCGGGGGCTGGATCCACGGGGGCCAGGCTGGAGGTGAGGGGACCGTTAACGTCCTGCGAATTCTGGCCATTGCTCTCCGACCTGCACAACGCGATTCCATTTCTCTTCAGTCATCGGACATGTCTACTTTGAAGATGTCTGGCCCCATTTCCTGCCTCCTCCTGCTCCGCTGAGCTAAGAGAACAGCTTAGAATTAATATTTAAATTTTGTTCGCTTTTAGACTGATTGAGGACTTGAAGCTGTCTTTGAAGAGCAAAGAAGCTTTAATTCAGTGCCTTAAAGAGGAGAAGTCTCAGCTGGCACGTCCTGGTGAGAGAGTGTCATCTGGAGAGCTCCGAGGACTCTCTGCTGCTCCGAGGGGGGAACAGGAGAGAGGAGCCGAGGTGAGCCCCCGACTCGTCGGGCGGAGGGGACGCACACTCAGGCCCCGCGGTCACACGCAGACTCCCCCAGATACTAGCTCCCCGGCAGCTGAGGAACTAGCGGGAGCCTCCTTTGTCAGGGCCCTGGCGTGGTTCCACGGAGCCAGTTCAGGAAACAGCCCATACCGGCTTGCCTCTGTCTTACCGCGTGTCGCCTTGTGGTTGCCCGGGGACTATTATTTGCGTCCTTTGGGTTTTTGTGGGATAAAACCGAGGACCCGTTTTGCCTCTGGTCAGGCAGTGGGGAAGGGCACCGCCTTGCGCCGGGCCTGGCGGCTGGGCAGCCTGTTCAGCGTGCCGCCTCATTTAATTCTTCTGGCCACTCTGGGAGGTCGGGAGCACGGTCCCCTCGCGGGATTTAGAAACGGGCTTGCCGTAGTTGTTCGAGTTTGCTAGGCTCCAGGAGGTGGGTTCCTAGTGCCGTCCCCCGAGCCTCCCAGAGGTCCTTTCTGCCCCCACGAGGCCGGGCCCACGGCCCGCTGCAGAGAAGGGCAGGTGGGCCGAGCACAGGCCTCCCAGCTCTTGTTGGACCAGGGGTGGCTGCCGCATGTGCTTCATTCACACTGCGGGCCGTTCTAGCTGCTCAGGGAGGGTCGTGCGGCAGTGAGTGCGGCCTGCAGCCTCCCCGGTTAGTTTCTGGCTGCCGTCGGCCCGCATCTCCGGCTCCTCCTTTGAACCCTGGGCCCCGTTGCTCAGTTGGCCCTTTCCATTGTCCAGCGGCTCCGTGGTTCACTGTCGGTGGGACTGGTCATCAGCCCACGTGGCTCGCGTGTCTTCACATTTCTCCTCGCTCGGGTGGGACCTCGGGTGCAGCAGAGAGGAGTGGACACTTAGTCCATGACGTCCACGGCGGTGGGGAAAAGTCAGGAAATGAGATGCCCGTTCTAATCGTTCTGGGGAAGCCGTTGCATTGTGAGTCCCTTCCAGGTGCCAATTAATGCCTTTTCTCAGGCCGCGCAAATGGAGCGCCAGGAGAGACTCCGCCTTGAAGAGAGGATCCAGGTATGCTGATGCCATTAAAAAAAATTATCGGCGATTTCTGCTTGCCTCTTGCTGTATTCTGAGTGCGATAGAGGGTTCGGGTGACGGTCCCTGTCGTCGAGGGAATGCCAGTGCGTGCCAGTCAGGCTTTCAGGACTTCAGAGAAGGCCGCTCAGTCCTGGCACTCATTCTGGGGAGCGGGCGTTCCCATTGTGCGGACGGCACGTGAGGCTCAGACGGGCTCGGAGGAGAGCCAGCGGGGACCCCGGCCTGCCGCCGCTCCGAGTCCCGCAGTCAGCACCGGCCTCTGTGGCGCCTGCCGGCTTAGAAGGCGCTTCCCGTCCATTCGCTCACCTGATTCTCACAACAGCCCGGGAGGGAGGCAGCAGGCTTATCTTTAGAAATGAACTCAGACTCTAAATGTATATGTTCAGTCTCCATCAAACCAAATTCTCTGTTAGCTTTTGTAGCATTAAGGAATGAAATTAATGATCTGTTATTTCCCCCAAATAACCTGGTACGGTTTCAAAGACTCTGATGTGACTGTATTCAAATTCCAGAAGGCATTGGAGTCCTTCCCACAGGAGTAGCTGTCACCGTCTTAACTGATCTGATCCCCTTCTTCTCACCCAACCCTGTTGCCGTGAGCGCTAGCACGTCACTGGGAGCTGCCGCCGCTGCGTTCAGCTCTCCTTGGAAACATTAATCACAGGGTGACAGGAATAAGATAGAATAACTGCATTTGAGTGTGCTCTTACAGATATATTTACAGTGCATTTTGGTTGGAACGCATCAACTTAGTGAATCTTTTTCTAATCTAATTTAGGCACTTCAGGAGGACCTGAGAGAGAAGGAAAGAGAAATTGCTGCAGAAAAGAAAAATAGTCTAAAGAGGGATAAAGCCATTCAGGGCCTAACCATGGCATTAAAGTCAAAGGAAAAAGAGGTATGTGCTGTGTCTGATACACCCGAAGTGAGATTTTTCTTTATTAGTTTCTGCGGCTGGCCTGTCCTACCCTGAATTTTTAGCTTTAGGTGGAGAGCTTATAAGAGAGCTGGGATGAGTGTAGGGAGTGCGGGAAGGGCCCCTTCGTCCGTCCGTCACAGATTGCTCTGCAATGTCCGCCTCAGTGCTGTCCAGGCAAAGGACTGGGTGACTTACACGTGGGTGTTTGAGTTTTCTAGTAGCTGCAGTAACAGAAGCAAGAAGAAACAAGCGGAAGGGACTTTAATAATATATATATATATAGCCCAAATGTTATCATTAAAACAATAGTAATAATGAGGTACTTAGCATCTTTTTAATCTTAGTGTCAGCGCTGACGTGCAAGTGTGATTACAGCACATCTCATTTCGACTAATTAAATTTCAAGTGCTCAGCAGCCACAGGTGGCCAGTGACTACCATATTGGACAATGCCCAGTTTTGTTGTGTTTTTTATTTTTATTTATTTGTTTATTTTTAATTTATTTTTATTTATTTATGATAGACATAGAGAGAGACGGGGCGGGGGGGGGGGCAGAGACACAGGCAGAGGAGAGGGAGAAGCAGGCTCCATGCCGGGAGCTCGACGCGGGACTCGATCCCGGGACCCCGGGTCACGACTTGAGCCCAGGGCAGACGCTCAACCACTGAGCCACCCGGGTGTCCCCAATGCCCAGTCTTTTTAAAAGACAATGGAATTGAGATGAAGGACTTTTGGGAGGCAAGGCCGTGACCATGAACCTGTTAGCTACCTGGGTTGTTACCTTGGGGATCCAGGGTTGTGGCCAATGGTTCCTTGCTATTTTATCTCGTTAGTGTAGCCATCTGTTGTTTTAGTAACTGAGCGAGGCACAGATACAGAGAGGAGACCCCAGCCCTGCTGGCACCTCCAGTGAGGAAGAGAGACCGAGTGAAGGTGTGGTGAGGGGGGGGACGTGCAGGGGGTGTCCAGGTGGGGGGCAGGGGACCCGATCCAGATCAGGGCATGTGTGTGGGGCGGCGCTTGGAGGAGGAGGAGTTTGAGCTGAATCTTGAAGGATGAGTAGGAGTTGGTTGGGGGGGAGGCAGAGAGGAGGACACTGGTGAACCCATTATGTTAGGTGAGAGCCTGACGGTGTTTGTGGAACCAAAAGCATCTTGCGGTTGTCGGCGCATCAAGTGCAGAACATCAGGGAGGCCAGAGAAGAAGCCGCGGAGGTTGCTTGGGGTGGCCAGTGGTGGTGGAATTAGTCACTTCTGGCGCTGTGGGTGGCCTGGAGCTGAAGGCTCTACCAAGCAGATCACATTTTCATCTTAGTGGGTCTCGGGCTGAGTCTGGAGAGTGGATGGTAGGAGGGAGAGAGTGGGAGCAGGGGGCCCAGTAGCAGGGCGAGGGCCTAGAAGGGCTGAGTTAGAGCCGTAGCCGCTGCTGAACGGGGTCCAGGGGCAGGGCGTGTTCAGACAACGAAATCAGAAATAATCATACATCAGAGGTAGATTTGGGGAGGTTTGCTGAGGAGGATGACTTCTGGGCGTCTGGCTGCTGTGACTGGGATGTGGTGGCGCCACCAGCTCAGTGGACAGCATGGAAAAGGGCAGGACGGCAGGGTGGGTGAGGCGATGGCGGTGACGAGTCTGTTCACAGCGTGTGTGGAAGGGAACGAACAAGGCTGAGGATGGGGACGCAGGGGACGTCGGTTCTTCAGGGTGGGGAGAGGAGTGCACAAGGGACGTAGGACGAGGCGAGCCAAGGGACTGCGGTGCTGAAGAAGCCGAAGAGGGGAGGCTCTGAGTGATCACCAGGGGGGTCCGAGGCCGCCGACACGTGGCTCATGGTACTCAGGGAATCCACCACCGTGAGATTTGAGAGTTGAGCCCCGCGCTGGGGCCCCGGTGGAGGGGCAGCCACGGGGGCTGGCAAAGTCTCGGGCGTGGCCGCGGGCGGAGTGGGCTGCAGCAGGACGAGAGACTCTGGGGGTGGCCAGGCCGGGGTGCTGGGGGTGGCCTCTACGGACAGCCGTGGTCCCGGGCTTTGGCTCAGGCGGCCGTGACTTTAGCACCGGTCCCCGTCACCTCATCTAGCCCCACCGATGCTGGAGTTTGGGGAGTCATCTCCTCCTCTCGTGGTCACGGGAAGGGTCTCCCTCCAGAGAGGAGCGCCTGCCTCGGGAAGGCAGGCGGGAAGCCCGTGATCAGAGGCTGCACCGTTGGGCAGGAAGAGCCCTGACGTGCGCACAGCAGGCGGAGTCCAGTTGCATCCTTGGCTGCTGTTCTTCTTTTACCCAGGTGGAAGACCTTAGCCGTGAAATGGAAGAGCTCAGTGCTGCCCTTGCGAAAGTCACAGACGCCCCCCAGGAGGCACAGACACAGAAGCTCCAGGTAAGCGGTCACCTGGCTTGCGGGCGGCCACGCCCTCTGTCCTTCCCCTGCTGAGGGCACGACTTTGCAGCTGGGAGGACCCCGGCAAACCCTGCGTGGCCGTTAGGGATGGAGTTGGCCGTCCCATTGGAAGACATTCCCTCCCAGCTCTGGAGGCTTCGCCAGGCCTCGTCAGTGTGATCATGGTGGTGGTGGCAGCGGCCCCACCGTTAGTGCTGCGCTCGTTCTGTGCCCACAGCAGACCACGCAGGACATGTGTCGTCCCGCATAATCTTCACCGCCCTGTGGAGAAGGTAGGTCGGCCTCTGCTGGATTTGGGGGGTTTTGAAGCTCAGGAGTGTGGGCAGCTTATTCACTGTCACGCAGCTCGCAGGTGGCAGGCCAGGCTTCGAGTGTAGTAATTGCTGATAGTGACCGCCGGTGTGAATGGATCACAAGCCGTGTGCCCAGCCCTGTGCCCAGGGCCCTGTGCGGATTGGCCCACAGGCTCTGTACAGCAGATCGCAGAGCAGATGCTGTCAGGGCCCGGGCTCGGGGTTGAGCGACTTGCACAGGGCCATGAAGGGGGTAGGGGAGAGAAGGGGAGAGAAGGGGAGAGAGCCAGGACTTGCGCTGGAGCCGGTCTCACTCCCAGACCTGTGCTTCCACCTGCCCCGCCCCTACCTCCCCTCACCTGGCTTCTAGAGTCCGGCTGCCTCCTGCCAGGTGTCACGTCCACACCTTGATGACCTGACCTGCCCTTCCCCCTTCTGTCCCCCAGCGTTGTACTCCAAGGACTCCCGCTGGTCACTGCCGTGATGTTCCGCCTTTCTGCTTAATTTTAGTTTTGTGTTTTTAATTATTTTAATATTTTCTTGCCATCTTCCTACACTTGATCTTAGCCAAAAGGCCGAGAAGCGATTCTTGCATCTTTCTAGTTTCTCTCTACAGTGTATCCCTGTTACTAATGATGAGCCAATGGCGTTCCACCCTCTGAATAAGCCCATACTGCTTCAAACTCTCCCTGCCACCCCTTCCTCCCACCGTGTATTTTTGGTTATAAAGTAGAAGTTAGAAGCTAAATCTAATGCAAGACTGCTTGATTCTTATGATTCATGTCCCACGTCTCATCTTTTGCAGAGCTCTGGTTCATGGAAAGAATAATTGAAGTAATTTGGTTTAAATCATGGTGCACTAGGAACATAGGCAAGTCTCTCCCTGGGGATCTCAGATTTGCCTCCCCCACCGTGTGGTTGGAAGTGGAGCTGAGATGGCACCGAGGTGGTTTTCTTTTTCCTCCTTGCTCTGAAAACAACAAGTTTTAAAGGCTGAATTCTTAGTAAACCGTTGATATTTCCTACTGCTTGAGGAAAGAAGTATGTTGCCGGTTGACAAGCAGAGAGACCAGACGGACATCCTTATAATCGTTGATGTTGTGCTCGTTATGTTGGGCCTTGAAGGAAAGAAGGTAGCCTTCTGCATTCACTGTTACCCTGATTTATCACCTACACTTCTTAATTTCATAACTGTCAGTCCTAGGCGAAAGACTTTCAGAACGATTTTTGAGGTCTTGTCACTCACAGCCTTGGCCGGGCTTCTTGGCTTGCAAGATAGCAGAGGTCATGAACTGTGCGAAGTCCTCGGGTTGTGCTCGCCTGCCGGGCTCTTCCCAGGGTGCGCATTTAATCCTCATCCACAGAGGTAGCAGGTTTGCTGGTTTGGCAGGTTGTTGGGACTTGAACTCAAGCCTGACTCCAAAATCTGTGTTTTTACCACTGTTCTGATTGTGTATGTGTGTGCGCGTACGAGTAAATGCACACAGTGTGCTTATATCGGCTGTTTCGTTACAAGGTCTACGTAGTTTGAATTTGCATGGGCCCTTGAAAATGCATTTTCTTTTATATAGTGGGATTTTTTGGGATGTCATGTGATTTGAGCTAATTGCAGCTTGAGTGGAGTAGCCAGAGTTCACAGGGTTGGCAGTAAGCCTGGCATTGAGACAGCAGGTGTGATATTCACATTCTTGGAGGGGTTGCCACAGTGCAGAGATGTGAATTCTGGTCACAGGTGGGACTCTGTGAAGCCCACAGTGTGGGCTGCCTGCTGCTACCTCCGGGCTCATTGAAAAATACATATTTTCAGATTGGAAATACAGGTTTTCCCCAATATCCAAAAGTAGACCTTTCGTATGAAATGTTCATAAGGTAAAATAGCATAAAGCGAAGAAGCACTTACCATTAACTTGCATGGAAAAATTTTTGAGCATTCTCAGACCTCAAAAACCACTTCTCTTTTTTTAGGCTTTTCTGACACCTTAGGACACATCATCCTGCTAACAGAAACACGAAATAAATCAAGATAAAGCAGATGCTTGCAAGTCACTGCTGTTCAGAGCTCTGGTGGCCTGAGATGCTCAGTGTAGTTCCAGGGAGGGCTTGTGGTGGGGCCGCCCTCACTGCTCCGGGTGCGGGCTGCCTCTAACGGCTCGCTGCAAAACCAGCGCAGAATGCGCTTTCACTTTTTTTTTATTTTTTTTATTTTATCGAAGTGTACTCGACACATAATATTATATAAGTTTCAGGTGTAAAACATAGTGATCCAACATTTATATGTATTACAAAGTGATCACAATGAATCTAGCTACCATCTGTCACCACACGTAGCTGTTACTGGTGTTATCAGCTGTATTCTCTGTGCTGTAGTTACACCCTTGTGACCTCTTTTATAACTGGAAGTTCGTACTGTTTATTAATCTCATTCATTCCTCTCTTTTGCCCATCTCTTCACCCCCCTTCTCCTCTGACAACCATTGAATTGGTCTCTGTATCTGCAAATATAACTTGGTGCCTTTTCCATAGAAGTGCAGGTCCTTCTCTGATTTCTCTTGGTTAGCGAAAACAGGTGCTCTGTAGGTCTTCTGGGGCCTAATGCGAACTTTGGGAAAGTATACCTGTGCATACCTCTCCCTGCTCAGCTGTAAAAGTAAAACTGCACGTTGGAGGAATTTAAAAAGTACTTAAGACAGTGGAAAGAGGTTGATAGATGTCACCAGTAAAGTCATGTTTAAAGATGTGAGTTGACTTTTTGCTTATTTATACTTACATAGAACCTTTTTAAAAAAATATTTTATTCATTTATTCATGACACCCACACACACACACACAGACAGAGATGCAGACAGAGGGAGAAGCAGGCTCCATGCAGGGAGCCCGACACGGGACCCGATCCCGGGTCTCCAGGATCACACCCTGGGCCCAAGGCAGGCGCCAAACCGCTGAGCCACTCAGGGATCCCCTACATAGAACCTTTGAAACAGTAGATAGGATCATATTACCTATTTTAATCTATAATCTTTTTTTTATCTAGAATTCTTATCATGACAGTATGTATAGATCTATTCACTCCTTTTTAAAAATTTTCATTTTTTAAAAAATTTTCATTTTGAAATAATTGTAGACTCACATGCAGTAGATTTCTGTATACTTTTTCTGGTTCTCCCAAAGGTGATGTCTTGCCTAACGTTAGTAACGATATCACAACCAGGACGTCGGCATTGGTGCAGTCCACGGTTGTTACTCAGATTTCAGCGGTGTGACATGGACTTGTGTGTGTGTGTGTTTATCCCTATGCTCTCAGACAGCCTCAGGTGGTCCACTGGATGTATGTAACCATATTACTTTACTGGAGAACATGGTGGGGTGGGACATGTATTTGAATCTTGACTCTGCTCTTCACTATCGCTTGGGCAAGATATTTGAGCTCTCGCAGCCTTCTTACCCATCGTGAGATGCGGATAATCACACTTAGGTCACATAATCCTTACAAGGACTACTCGAGACCGTGTATCTGGGCACAGGTGGTAACTTAGTAAATGTTGTTAACTCATTCTTAGGTTGGGTAGTATTAAAAAAAACAATGTTGGGGACGCCTGGGTGACTCAACGGTTGAGCGTCTGCCTTTGGCTCAGGGTGTGATCCCATGGTCCTGGGATCGAGTCCCGGCATTGAGTCCCGCGTCGAGCTCCCTGCACGGAGCCTGCTTTTCCCTCTGCCTCCATCTCTGCCTCTCTCTCTCTGTGTCTCGCATAAATAAAGAAAAAAGAAAAAAAAAAAAAGACTTCCACCTTCAAGCTGATACCTGCAACAATGTTCTTAATACTTAGATATTAAAAAAAAAAGAACGTTGTGTAGTATTACCTTCTGGCATTGAAATACAGTAGTTCCTTTGGTCGATTTTTCAAATTCTCTGTTAATGGTGTTAATGGTGTTCTGCAAGTAGCTTTTAGTTTGAGGAAACTCTCCATATTGTCTCTTGATTGGGAAAGGAAGATCATGCAAGTGCTGGAGAAGGGGAATTAGATTTGTTGAGCCTGCGTTCCTGGACACGAGACTTCAGTTATCCTGTTTAATCTTCAGGACGGCCGTGTGAAATAGAGATTTCACAGACGAGGGAGCGCAACTGCAGAAAAGTTAACTCCTCCCAAGTCACAAAGCTAGAAGTGGGCTTTGAACTCTGGGCTCTGTGAGTCTCTATTAAACTCCTCATGTGGGATCCCGGGTGGCTCAGCGGTTTGGCGCGCCTGCCTTTGGCCCAGGGCGCGATCCTGGAGACCCGGGATCGAGTCCCAGGTCGGGCTCCCGGTGCATGGAGCCTGCTTCTCCCTCTGCCTGTGTCTCTGCCTCTCTCTCTCTCTCTCTTTGTGTGAGTATCATAAATAAATAAAAAAAATTAAAAAAAAAAAAAAAAACTCCTCATGTGTCCGCACTGTGGGGAAGGGTGGTTTGGCTCAGACGGTGTTTGGCCTGAGTAGGTCTAATTGCGCCAAACGTTTACCACCTGCTTGTAAGCACCCCTCTGATGACATGGAATTCAGAAAGCAGGGTGTCGTGCAGAAAAAGGTAAAAAACTTTCCAAAGTGTCTCAAAGGGCCATTTAAGGAAAATTGAACTTGGAAATTATCTTCATGGTGTGAGGATGAATCTGAACTTTTTAAAAGAGGCTCTGTCATTGTTACTTGCGCGATAGCCCACAGAACGTTCATCACTTTATAATAACGCTTACTTTAATTGTCGCTGTGGCTGGCCTGTGTTTAACAAGCTCCTAATTGGTGTTCCTGTCTCTAGCCTTCCCTTGTTTGAATTCAGTCTTGTTTTAATTCTTGCTAGTTTATTGGTGTTAATTGGGAATCTTCACTGGAATGGGCGAGGCAGTATAGCGCTGTGGAGAGAGTCCCAGATTTAATCACTTACGGTCTGGTGACGGGCTCGTCATTCTGAGCCTCACTTGCTTAGGTAGGGACAGTGACGTGTACTTTGTAGGGTTGGTCATGGAAATAGAGATACAGTGTGTGCAAAAGCACCTGGTTTAGCTCCAGTGCTTAATAAAAGGTAACGGAAAATTGCTCAAGATGAGCATTTTTCCTATCATTGTTTATCTTCTTTTGCTTTTTGAGTTTATTTACGTAAGCATGGCCCCAGATACTTTTTTTTAGGCCTTGTTTTAGGCCTTGGTTTCCTACTCTTTTTAAAACTTTTGATTTTAGGGCACCTGGGTGGCTCCGTCGATTGAGTGTCTGCCTTCAGCTCGGGACATGATCCCAGGGTCCTGGGATGGAGCCCCACGTGGGGCTCCCTGCTCAGCGGGGAGCCTGCTTCTCCCTTTCCCTCTGCCCTCCCTCTGCTTTTGGGCTCTCTCTCACATAAATAAGTAAAATCTTTAAAAAAAAAATTGTTGATTTTTAAGGGAAAGTAAAACAGAAGCTTCTCTAAAACCCACTTTGGAATGTGAATGGGGTTCCTCCTCAGTCTCTGTTGCAAGGTCCTAAATAGCAGTGGAGAAACACGAGATGGCCCCACTTCTCCAGGATTAACAGTGGCTGTAGCCCGTCTCTCCTAACAACTAGGACTTGACCGGCGATGGTGGTGGAGCTGGATCTCCTGGAAAGGCCAAGAGGCCGGAGCCAGTCCCTTTACCCTATGGTCTGAATTGTGGCCTTGACAGCTCACGTGTCCCTTGCTTTTGCATTTTTAATCATGAGCCTTTGTCCAATCCAAAGAACGGATTAAAAAAAAAAAAAGTTTATTTTCTCCTAAGTATTATATATGCTTCAAATTTTCTTTCGGGAGACTAGAAAGGAGGAAAAAAAATGGGGAATCAGGAGATCACGTAGCCACACTGTTCACATCTTGATGTGTTTCTTTCTCGGCTTTCTCCTCTGCATAGATTTTATTTTTTAGAGCATTCAAATTTAATCTTCTATTTTTTCATATCGTGTTGTGACTTGGAATGTCCCCATGTTACCTTCATTTTTCCTGTTAAAGTAAATCTGTGATGGATGACTTTGTGCATAAGGCTTTTCCCCCTTATGTTTTGGATTCTTCTCCTGAGATTGAATCCTGGGAACGGAATCATCAGGATGAGTGTGAACATGTCTGTCCTGTATACACACCCTTGATGTATGTAATCTGTCCACAGAAAGTTACATTAATTCACATTCCTGCCAGTGTATTTCTGGGCTTCTGGATGCCCGGTCAGTTCACAGAAAGTTAATATTAATTGTGTTGCTTCATAGTAAGTTTGCCAGCACTGGATATTCTCATTAAAACAATCTTGTTAAATGAAAGCTTGTTTTAATTTACTCTTTTTGGTTATTGGTGAGTTACAGTATTTTTTCCAAATGCTTGACAATTATATATGTATTTTCTACTAAACTGTAATGATGAAGTAAGGATGTTCTGGACATAATTAACCCTTGGACTCTGCTGAATTTACAGCCGCTCGCGGTGGCCACGCAGCTGCCACACTGACCACTTCTGTTTCTCCAGGCGACTTTGGGTGTGAGCCGCTCCAACCTCAGCGAGCTTTGCAGGCGCTTGATCCGCCTCTGCTTCTCAGATGGCTCTTCGTGTTCCACCTTTTACAGATAACTTGGTGGAGTTGTTTTTCTTTTTTAGACCGTTATAAAAGTAACATGCTCAGTAACCTCAGAACATTCAAAAGAAGTGAAGGAAGAAAATCGCCCATGTACCCACCCAACTTAAGGCAGTTTCTGACATTCTGTGCTTTTCTTTGTTGTCTTAAAAAAAAAAATGCGTCTTTTATACAGTTGTAGCCTCTTCCCCCCGTCACATCAACATGGGGGCATAATCATTACTCTGTGTTATTTCGAAATCTACGTGTTCTTTGTGGTTTGGGTCCTAGAGGTTGTCTACGTTAATCTTTTTCTTCCCTAACTCCCCGTTCCCTACCCCAAGGCGAAAAAGGAGCACAGATTTCTTGGTCTGTTTCATGTGCTACAGAATGAGCTCATCTCCCCTGTCTGCCTCCTCTTCCAGGGGTCTGAAGATTATGAGGCTGCTCTGTTAGAAAAGGTGGCGCTTTTGGCACAGCTGCACTCAGAAAACATCAACAAGAGCGCAGAGAACCACAGACTGCGTAGGAACATTAAGAAGGTCACCCAGGAGCTTAGCGACCTGCAGCAGGAGAGGGAGCGGCTGGAGAAGGACTTGGAGGAAGCCCATCGTGACAGGGGCAGAGGAGACCACACCATCCACGTGAGCAGCATGCTGCGGTCGGGCTGGGGCGCTGGATTGCTGTTTCTGGTTGTAGGGAGATCGTCTCTGCAAGAGACCTAGAAAAATATGAAAAATGTAAAGAAGAAAATATCTCGCTCATCATCTTGGGATTCTTTCTCTGTCTCTCTCACACACACACACACACACACACGCACACACTATTGGTATCAAGCTGAAAATGCAGTTTTGTGTCTTGCTTTTTGTTAATTGAATGTTCTCTTTTTGGTATGTTGCCACGTTATGAGTGTTCTTCAGAAAAACGTTTTTGTTTGTTTTTTGGTGCAAGCATAGTACTTCATCACTTGGATGTGCTATAGTTTATTTAGGCCCTTATGGTAGAATGTTTAGGTCATGAAACTTTTTCTTTTTTAAGGTTTTATTTATTTATTTGCGAGAGACACACAGAGAGAGGCAGAGACAGAGGCAGAGGGAGAAGCAGGCTCCCTGCGGGGAGCCCGACGTGGGACTCGATCCTGGGACCCCGGGGTCACTCCCTGGGCTGAAGGCAGACGCTCAACCACGGAGCCCCTCGGGCACCCCAGTTAAACTTTTTTTGCTTTATGACAAATGTGATAGCAAACATCCTTGTATCTAAATATTTTTCCATTGATTCTTTCCAGATAGAGCTATAATTATTGGGTCAAAGAGGATGACTATTTGAACATTATTATATAGATATACTCAAATTGTTTCCCAGAACGATTGTACCAGGTTTCTCTTTACGAGAGTGATCCTTTTTTAAAGACTATTTTTCAACATTGGATAGCATTTGAAAGATTCTGAATTTGGTAGGCAAAATACAGTTTATCATCTTTGAAAGTTTCTATTACAGGGGCACTGGGGTGGCTCATTCAGTTAAGCATCCCAAGTCTGTTTATTTTTGTATTTTTTATTTTTAAAAGATTTTACTTATCTATTTATTTATTTAGTGGGGTAGGGGAGGGGCACAGGGAGAGGGAAAGAGCTGAAATCCAGAGCCGGTTGCTTAGACATGGGACTCTGTGCTCTGCAGGGAGTCTGCTTGAGGGTTTTCTCTCTCCCTCTCCCACTGCCCCTCCACCTGCTCGTACTCTTTCAGATAAATCTTTAAAGAAATTTTTTAAAATAAATAAATCTTAAAAAAAATTTCTCTTGTATTTAAACTTAAACATTCATTGCCCTGAGAGTCACGTCTAGATGCCTCGCCTTGGTGCAGTTCGGTGGGATAGGGCCTAAATCTGAGTGGTCATTGACACGTTGTGGATGATCTGCTCGGGGACCCTGGGCGGGCAGAGGACCTCTCTCGCGCGGACAGTCGTTGTAGTAGAGGTGTCCGAGGGAGCGTTCAGGTACTACAGTGTAGCTCCCCAGTGGCTGCCACGGGCGTGGTCATCAGGATCCATTGTGTGAAATCCTGACGCTGACCCTGGCACGAGCATTGAAATGCAAACATTCATATGTTTTAACAAAAATATTAATGAACATCAAGGGAACAGTAATGGGAATTTAGAAACATAAAATGTCACTTACAGTTCCACCAGTGACTGTGGTTTTCAGTGTCACCCTTCAGACGTGGTGCCACTGGGCCCTAATCCAGTTAGAGGCTGACTACTGTTCTGTGTTCCTTGATCCTGGACGTTATCAGGGGCATTTCTGCATATAGTGTGGCCTCCAGCCTGATGGCGTTGAATGGTGCACGGTCTTCACTGACTACATTTCACCTGTTTTACTTAATTTCCTGCTCTCTCGGACAGTTTGGTTGTTGAAATGATTCCACAATAACATCCTTGGGCATGTAGACACTTCCCCTTGAATTCCTAGGATTTGAGTGAGTTTACTAGGTCAGATGGTACAAATATTTTATGCTAGTTAATCATGTTGCCGAATTATTTGTGCAGAGGGCTGGCCCAACGTGTGCTGCCACCAGCGATCTTGGAGCATAGCAGTTTACTGTGGGTCATTAAAGTATAGGGTTCCTGTTTGCTATTGAACACCAAGTATACCTGGTTTAGATGTTGATGCAGTGTAAGATGTGACCTCTGAAAGTTTTATCTTTTCTAACAGTGGTGGAGATGTCATATTTGACAAAATGCAAGGCAGCTTAAAATCTATAGAATTAGTGCAAAAGATCCTGGGATTGGAGTAGTCGGGAAACCCTCTGGGGGGAGGTGGCACTTGAGTTGAGCGAGAAGAGTAGGGCTTGAGTTGTGTGCCGCACGGAGGAGGTAAGGAAAAGGCTGGCAAGACGGTCCTTCCACACAGGTGCAGTTGGCGGATCAGTTCTTACTCCCTGACTGCTGGGTAACTTCCTCTTAGTTTAAAATACCTCGTCCCCTGCACCCCCAACTGTCATTAGAAAAAGGCTCATTCAATAGAATTGGGTTGGGGACACACACAGACATCTCCCCCCCCCTCTTTCTTTCTTTCTCTCTGTCCCTTCCTTCCTTCCTTCCTTCCTTCCTTCCTTCCTTCCTTCCTATCCATCCATACACACTTTTTTTTTTTTTTACATTATGACTTACTCTTGGTAAACATTTGAAATAGCTGCATAATATTACATCAGGTGGAGATGCTGTAATTTATTTACCTGTCCCTCTTGTGTCACACATTGTCGGTGGTTCCATAATTCACTTATTCATGTAAACCTTGGTGCTTCTGGAGGACTGCTGGGCTGCCGTGGCTAGCTGATGTATTTCTGTGTAACGTGTGCACATCTTTGTGAGGAGGCAGGGGCTGTTTGGTGAAGAAAGCAAGGGGCATGTGATGAGCGGGGCACTTGGGGTCGAGTATACTGTGGGTAGGAAGGTTTTTTCCCCCCAGTGACAGAAACCCAGCTTGAACTAAGTTAGGCAAAAAGAGAAATGTATTTCCTTGCGTGACTACAGTGCTGGAGGGATGGAGACTGGAACGCTGCTGGGACTGAATCTTGGTCTCTGGGAGCTGCCTTCTTTCTCTCCAGTTCCAGCTGGTTAGACCATCGTTGCCGCCCCGCTGGGGTCACATACTCCCAGTTGATTACATAGGAGGAAGGAGGACTCTCACACTCTGCTGCCCCCACGGCATCCCTGTCAGGATGGCCAGAGGCCCGGCGTGGGTCACATCCCCAGTCAGTCTTCTTTGTCAGAATGTGTGCGTAGGCTCGGGTGCGTGCGCGTGTGAGTCCCGTCATCGACAGCCTCCTCTAGAAGCTCATGTTTGGGAGGGATGAGCAGTTACCTCCAGAAAGGGTTGTGTTGTTTCAGACCAAAACAACCACTGTGTACTCTGTGTGCCTACCTCAGGTGAACATGACCGTGACCCAGAGCTTTCTGGCATCCCATCGGGACTACGTTTGTACATCAGGTTATATATAGGTTTCTGGCAAGATGATCTGGCCATGGCTCCTTTCCTTTTGTGTGTGTACAGCATCACAGTGGTAGCTCTACTTACCTTCTGGTTACGGTATAAGAATTTGGCTGTGTCTGTCTCCTATGAATGTTTCACACCAGACGTGGGGCTTGGCTTGTTCAGCGTCTAGGGAACATGATGGGTGGTGTTTTACCTTATGGTCCTGGGATAAATGCAGAGGTAGAGCCTGACCCGCTGGCCCCACCTGTCTCGTCTGTTTGTTCTATAACAGGCTCTTTAATGAACTTGATTCGCTCACCGGCTGCTACTGCTGCTGCTTGTGGATTGAGACAAACAAACAAATAAGCAGACCTTTTAGTGGCCTCTATTTCTTTCCTTTTTTTTGATGGAGGGGACACACGGGACTTGATCTCAGGACCCTGAGGTCATAAACCTGAGCCAAAATCAAGAGACGGGCGTTTAATAACCAGCTGGGCCACCCAGGCGCCGCTCGTAGCCTCTTCTGTCCCGACAAAGGAAAGGGAAAAGGAAAGGGAGAAAGGGGAAAGAAGGGAAAGGGTCCCACGCATGCAGTCAGCAACATTGAACACTGCGCGGGCCCTCTGTCAGGCAGGGGACGGTTCCATGACGGGTGTGAGCAAAGCCCACGGAAACACAGAGCAGGGAGGTGGCTTGCAGAATCAGAGAGGGCTCTAGGGAAGAGCGACTTGTGAACTGGTTCTGAAGTTCGAGTTAAATAAAGGTTGATTGATGGGCAAGGGGGCGGAGGGTTTTGTATGGACGGTGAGGGCACAGAGGTATGAGAGCACATGGTGTTTTTGGAGAAACAAAACAAGGATGTCTGATTTGATTTGAAGTATTCTGAGGTATTATTTGGAGCTTTAAAGATTGTAATTTATTCTTCTGATGTTTCAAAGACATTTTTAGAAGTTTATGGGAAGTCATTAAAGTGAGATTAAAAATAAAGGTAAAGGCCGTCAGGTCTAGGAACGGGCAGCACAGTGAGTGAGGAGGATGCTCCCTGGTGCATCTGACACAGTTCCGAGGACGGGGGCTTAAATTCAGCTGGTGGCCCCTGGCAGCGGACGTCACGGGAAATCGGCTACAGGGTCTCCAGTGTCTGAAGAGGAACCGCTTAAGGTAAGAGGACGGCTCTGGCCAGCACTCAGGCCCCGGGCAGTCTTGCTCCCCCGGGCTCCTGAAGGGTTCTGGGGGCGGGATGGAGCCTCGGACAGGACGGCCTGCGGCGGGAGCCGTCTCGCGCCGGGCCACGTCCGCGCCTCCCGGGTCGGCGAGCTCGAGTCGCTGGGACGTGTCTGGCTGTGTCCGTTACTCTCGTTTCTTGGACGAGAGCTACCACCCGGACGTGCTGCGGGCCTGCTCGTGGGCGAGCCCCGACCCCGCCTCTGCGGGGGCTGCCGCCAAGCGTCCTGGCGCTGTGGTGGCGCTGCCTGGATTCCCTCTGATGGTCAGCCCACCCGATGCCTCTGGGTGTGATCAAACCATCCTTTGCTCACGATGGAAAGCTTTACTGCCCTGTCTTCGCGCTTACTCTCCGCTTTTCGGGGGGAGGGGGGGACGGTGCCTGTCCGAGCAGGCATCTTGCAGCGGGGGCACGTGACTTCACCATGTCCCACGGCGCCGTCCGAGGC